TCATGTCATTCAATGTCTCTAACCATTGGTTACTATCGTCCTGCGGACCACAACTAGGTAGTCTACATCTACCAGAGGTGATCTGATTATGGCGTAAAACATATTAAGCACACCAAATCATCCCAGCATGTGCATCTTACAGACGCATCACCACTACTCCTCTAGAGGCAAGACAAGCCTTGAAAAAATTGCGCATCAGAGGGCGAATACTCGGGTTTGAGCATAAGTTTCCTCACTGAGAAGCGTCGCAACTTGAAATGCTCTGTCAACCGAGGTGACCATAACCCGCTCAGTGAACAGCTTTACGGAGAGACTTGATAATCACATACTAACACACGGATTATCATCTCCCTTTTGGAAAGCTTTGCCCTATTATTCTCCACATTGCAACTAACTGATCTCCGGTCCGGTAATTTGATGGCTGCCGGTATCCAGAAACCCTACTGCCCTGAAACAGACGTTTTCATTCAAATCATGGGATATAAAAACTCACAAACCATGCCAAATCAAAATAGAAATATAAGGTCTGTTGTTTGACAATAAGACAAGTGTGAAAAATGAAAAACAAAAGGAAAAGAAGGTGATTGACTCTTTCTAAGGTTTGGAAAGTTCTTGTATGACCAATAACCGAAGTCTCCGGATATTGCAATCGAGTAAACGCAAGGCGCGTTATTTTATTGTTTTTTCTCAAGGTTGTTTGAAGGTTACGAGAATGTGACGCCGAAGCGCATTCATTTGAAGTAATGGATTGACAATAATCTTACTTTGTATTAACTGTAGGTCGGGCGATGAGGTGAACGTATTTGAATTGTAAAAGTCAGTAAAATGATCAGATGTCAAGCCGAAAAAAAACTAATGTTTCAGGAATTTATAATATAGATATTTATTTCTAAGGAACAGTGTGTTACACGAGGCATGTCAGTTCCCAAGCAATATCAAGTTATTGCAAATGCTTCTAAATTTTCTGTGATAGGTTGCTCAGTCAGACTGATGTTCTTCATGTTACAGTAATCATAGACATAAAAGTGCTAACTCTCAAATAGTCAAGCATAATCCTAGTATGACGCTTTTGTTCAGTGCAGTCGTTTTTGTGCTTTTTGTATTCTGCATTTAAAATGACGACTTGTTTTCCTGAATTAACGCAATTTAGGTTCAGACCTGTGTATGATGAAGTCGATGCATAATCATTTTCCCGATGGTTTTACTCGAATAATAAAGTAGAATGGTGTTATTCTTGCATATATGCGTGTTTGGTGGCCTAATGCGATGTTGCTAAAAAGAATGTAATGTAAGCAGAACAGAAAATGTTCGTGATCGGAGTTGAGTCATGACTCAATACATGCATCTATAAAAACATTAGAGCACTATAACTTCTACGTATCTTTCGTTATTAAATCACTTGTTGCCGAATTGTTTCTGTGCAAAAATTCACCATGATAGTGAGTGGGCTGAGGACTGTATGAATAGAAGCGATTCAAAGTAACTGAAATGTGGATCTCTAAAATGAAATGGAATAATAATTGTTGCACAAGTAACTTTTTCTTATCACTTTTACCAAGCTATGGGGGAACGGCTTTACAGCTTGTCAGAATGCTCCGGTAAGAAGTGAAATTAGCTCAAGTTTGTAAATATGATTCAAAGACGTATTAGTCATAAGAAAGCAACATCAGTACCACTGATTAGCTGCATCCCGCTAAGAAATGAATGGCTGTAAGCAAACATTGTGTTCTACTCTACGGATATCGATGGATAGGGTTTATTTTTCCCACCATTATGTTTGCTGAGTAGATAGACCATTCTCATTTCGTGATTTGCTCCCTTAAATTTGTGGTATTTCAATATTACTTTAATCTAAATTGTATATTACATACCTTAACTTAATATATTATTTCCACCAGTTTTATGATGCAAGCAAATCAGAGAGAATAACTTTCCGTATGGTGGTAAAGATTTCACGAATATTCAGGGTTTGACAAGTCGTTTCTCCGCAACCACTTTGTTAATATTATGATATCCAACAAAAAGCTTTCTCACTAATAAGTTGTACTAAGGAACCATCTAGGGTTTCACCAGCAACGCTATTACAAATAAAAACTTTGATAATGTTTACACTCAACAAAACTGAACAGGTTCTTTGATATATATATCGAAAAATGTTCACTTCTTTTTAAGGCGAACAGAGACAAGAAAAAACATCAAGATATGTTTGAAATTTATTACTGAATGTTTATGAAAGAGAACAAAAATAAACGATGATATGCTTACTGCACAGAAGTAAAGTAAGATTTGATAGTGGAATGAAAGTTTGAACGATTGTTCAGACTTATGCGATGCAAGTCACAATTAGAAGCAAATGGTGGTCATCAAATACCAATTCGTAGGCATAATATATACGTGGTGAAGGTGAAATAAGTATGAAAAGTCAGCATTCTTCTGCAAGTATCGAAAAAGATTTTGTGTTTTCAGTGAGAAACCCTGTAAGCGTGAGAATGAAATCTACACAAGAAAAGAATTTAAAAAAAGAGTCAGGAAAACGACTAGTACAGAGCCTGCGCCTGAGCTAACATCGCTCATCATGTTCAGAGCCAGGTCGGTTGACCTTCCGACCGTCTATTAGTTCTCTGAATTCTGCTGAGATCTACGGCTTCTTCCTAACCTTGTGGTTTACCTAACCAGCAGATATCACTGCTTCCACAGCCTTTTCGATATCATTCCAAGCTACCTCCGGATGAGAATCACTTACATGGCCGCCTAACTTTTTCGAATTGCTGCGAAAACATACTCATAGCTTTGCTACCAATAAGTAGAACCCTAAGAGGTTTTGTGACGGTATCTTTCCTTCGTCCGGTATTACGCAAATAAATACGCGCTCGCACTAGAGCATGATCTGAATTTAGACATGTGCCCCAGAACGAGCGACGATCCTCTGTCTAACCCCTCCATCGGCGGCTGATGGCGATGTGATCTAGTTCAGACGACTTTGGGGGTCGCCAGGTTAGACGTTTTTCCTCATGCTTAAGGTTAGTGTTTGCTAGAAATAGGCGGTTATCTGAGCGTAGTTGCAGAAGACGGTCGCCATTATCTGTTCTTTGAGCCACGATACAATACGATCCACCCAAATGTCTTTCCTTTTCACTGTGTCTGCTTAGTGGTCTCAAGTTTACAAATTGTAATTATTATATTGAGAGTACATAATACGATATCGTGAACGTCTTACCATTATATACGATATTGGGAGTGAGGTTACTGGTGAAAACCAAACCTAAGATATTTTGATGTCTGTTAACATATTGTATCCACTCTTCAAGTTCTAAGCGTTCAAGATATCAGTTGAAATATTTTGGTTCTTAATTTGAAAACTAAGAAGTTCCAGGAATGTCGTGTACATAGAAATAAATAAGTAAACGTGAATACTTACGATTTTGCAAGGGTCAAAGTAACCGTGCGTTGATCAATTTAGCTGGATACAGTAAGTCGCATGATGAAAACATATTGCCACTACATGAAGATAAACCAAGATGGTGAGTAGGTTATTTCTTTTCATTTTTATCAGAGACTTAATGAAATGAAAGTCAGATTGCTTGATTATTTCTGTCGACTCGAATGTCACAGAATTACAAGCTGGCTACATCTGAGGAGAAAAATTCCCGAATTTAGGATGCTGAAATCTCTCTCATTGCCAAGTAAGTCTTAAATTTCTAAAAATTTATGCAAATAAGTTCATAGTAGATTTTTTGCTATCAACGAGTGCTTCGATGCTTAATAATATTGCAGTCTGCGCAATTATCTTCTAAATTCCGTATATCTCCGTCTTGACACCCATTACCAAAGAACACGGGTCGTTGCGACAATCTCCTTATTATTCAATATATATATATATATATATATATATATATATATATATATATATACAAACGTGCAAATTTGTGATAAGTATTTAATGAAGAGGCATTGATGTCGATCGCTGTTCCATTTCAAAAAGCTGTGCTCCTCACTGACAATGTTATCATTTCGATCCTTTGTTATTTAATAAATGTTTTCTAAACCTACTTTATACTTTTCACTTTCATTGAATGCGTTGAAAGGAACCAGATATAGCAGGTAAACATTCATATGCATTAGTATTTCATCTGGACTAAAAAGCTTTCTTGCTGTTACATTTGAATGCATGTTCATTAGTGTATCTTTTGTAGCTAGGTAGTGTACTACCACTTTAAATTTTAAAGTTTTTATAGGAAAGGCTAGCCAAGCATCATTGCATTTTGGCTTGTGTTAGTTCGTGATGATTGCCCTGAAGATGAATCATAATTTTAGTGCATAACTTTAGTTTAACTCTCATTACCCAACCCCCAACTTTTTACACCATATTTGATGTCACTTGTTAGCGAATACCTTATAATGGTTGTAGACATAAATTATAATATGTGGACCTAACTTTTCCCTTCACGATAATCAGTAGTATAATATGTAGAGAATTAATTGTAGTATTAAGACCACAATTCATCTATGATTGAGTTGATTTTGATTGTTATTAGAGTTGGCAGCTTCTCCTGATTGGCTGAAATGTCACTCAAGTTTGTCAGTTTAGTATTAGGTTCCCAAGCACATCCGAAAAACTGCAAATATGTGTTCAAAATCAACCATGCACTTCCGATAGCATGAGAATTTAAAATTTTCTGTCCAACTAAGAAAATTGTTCAACTATTTTCTTTCGATCGTTGCCAAAATCTAAGGTAAAAGTTCTCGAGGCTACCAAAAACAACTCCATTCTTGTAAGAAACGGTGGGTTGGGACCATTTTCTTCAGCGGTATCATCATAAAAATGGGTAAATAAGCATATGCATACAAGTAATATAGTATCTGTAGACGTCTTTTTAAAGCTAGGTGCTGTTTCACTATCTAGTGACCTGTAAGTTCCCAAGTTTTATTTTCAACAAAAACTTTGATAACCTGTGTTTTCGAATTTTTCAACCGGATTACTTTCCTCACCTTTACTTTCAGGTATCGCCATTTTTCATGAAAATACAAAGACTAACTAGCCTTTGGTCTGAAACTACTAATTTTTCATGGTGAAAAATACTAATTTTTGTGTAAAAGGAATAAAGTTTATATTGGCCAGCTATACCCCAGTTCTCATTTTGTGCAGCTTTTTTCCTTAAAACAAATTTACCGCCATAATACATTGTCTGTAGCATCAAAAAATCTGTGAGGTATTATGACTTCTGCCTTAAAAAAGCTTCCTAAGATATGGTGTCCAACCTTATCGTCAGTTAAATGCTTATTCATTTTGCCATCCTTTCCAAGCTCCAACTTCTCTGTTCCTCTCCCAGAGCTTAGGAATCGCCGCGAAATTTTTACGAACAAACTGAACATTTTTACTAAACAGCTGCCAAATAAGTCTTCCTGTCACATAGTTATAATACCAGCATCAGAAATACAGTATATGGCATACCATGTTCCTTACCCTTTTCACCAAGATCCTAACTTCTTCTACTTCACAGGATTGAATGAACCGAATGGAGTTTTGTTATTTTGCTCAAGTAAAACGGGAGAAAGTCACGGTCAAAATAATTTTAACTGGTCGACTCATCTGTTTGTGGAGACTTTGAACAAGCACGCCGAAATATGGAATGGTCCATCTTTGACATTATCAGAAGCTTCTTTGATAACTGGAGTTAATGATTCTCATTCTTTGAATGATTTTAGTAAATTTTTGGACCAACAAGCTTCGTTTACAGAATCCATCCATCTTTGGTATAGTCCATTGTCATCCAGAAATTTTGTTGAGCGCCCCTTAAATAGGTTCATTTTGAAAACTGTTTTAAAATTTTCCCAGGATATTAGCAACAAAAGCATCAGTTTTGAAAATCCAGATTATATAATCGACAGTATTCGCTTTATCAAGTCAAATTATGAAATTAAACAGATTAAAACTTCGGTTATTGCATCCATTGAATCTCTTAAGTCGGCCATGCAAATCACAAAACCAGGAATAACGGAAACTACTTTGCAAAATCATATAGAGTACCAAATGCGCAGCCGAGGCTGTTCTGTTGGATATCCTCCCGTTGTTGCTGGAGGTAAAAGAACAAATATAATTCATTATATGAAAAACAATCAAAGGATTGAAAATGGAGAATTGGTTTTAGTGGATGCTGGGTGTCGCTTTAACGGATACACATCCGACATTACCCGAACTTGGCCAGTGAATGGTATGTCAAAGTGATTTTACTAACCTCATGTAAACATTTGAAAATTTGGAAATCTCTAGAATGAAAGTTAGGCATATTTGGTTAAATTTTTCTAAGGAATTGCGATTGGTAATTTCTAGCACTCGAACGCTAAGAAGGTTTAAGGCCAGTGCAGCAAGTTAGAATATTGTATATGTGATATAAAGATAGCTGAGTTTTCACGAATTAGGCACTTTGGAAAAATCAGATATTACATGAGTAGGTCTGATATATGATAACTAAATTACCTTAGTGATTCAGTAACAATGAAGCAGTCTTCTCCATTTTTAACTGTATTACCGGTCGGTTTAATGGTATCGAGCTTGTAATTTTACTCGTCTTTTTTGCTATTTCGATCTTAGTCATTAGCTCCCATAAGCTCCAAACTCGCTTCGCTTAGTTTTGCTTTCGACCCCGATAAACGTGATTAAACCTTACATCCTAAACAATACTTATCGACCTGCTTTGACAAAAACATCTAATGTACGTATTCAGGTTTGAACCTAACGTAACCTGGAGACCAGTCAGATTGAGTAAGCTTCTCAGTAATGATCTGGCTAGATGCCAAATATCGTCAATTTTTGTTGCTCTCTCGATTTCCGTAGCTTTTATAATACATAATCACCATGCAGCTTACTCATACTTTTGAATGTTCCTTTAACAGGAACCATAAAAGCCCTGTTAGAGATTGGCCGTATTAGATGACTTCATATTCTTGTGATTTTGAGATATGCATCAGAGTTCTTGTATCGATTTGACGAGTCACCTGATTCTATCGCACTTATGAAGTGAGGAATGTAGTGTTGTGCTGATTGCCCAACCCGTAATTATAGTGAATTCGGTTGTCAAACACAATATACTTTGTTACCTACTAGCTTCAATGTAGTTGAATTTTTCAGTTACATCAAATTCAAAAATCATAATTTTATGTCAGAATTTGTTTATTCAATAGGAAATTTCTCGGAACCCCAGAAAGTTGTACATGAAATATTAACTGATGTGCAAAGTTCATGTGCTTCTTTAGCCTCTCCTGAGCAAAGTCTACAAGATCTGTATCACCATATGCTATCCGAAATAGGACGACACTTAGTAAGTGAGGGGATTATTCCAAATCAGGATATAATTAATGTAAGTCAACGCTATATAAATAGATACCTCATATCTCTGTGTGCCTCAAATCTCTTCATTATTATGTATCACTATTAGTGTCACTAGCAAACGGTACGAGCTCTCGAAACATTATGCCTGGTCTCTTGAAACCCCGTACTAAATTACATACAGGAGCTTTCAATGTTCGGACCCTTTGCCAAATAGGGCAACAGGCTTCATTACCTAGAACTCTGGAATCCCGTGCGATCGATGTATGTTGCGTCTCCGAAACTGACTGCAGTTCAGATGACATGAAAGATAGGTTGTATAGAAACCTCTCTAAACTACTCCAAAATGTTAGGCCCTCTGATATAGTAATAATGACTGGTGAATTTAATGCTCACCTTGGTGGATATTATGGTGTCGAGACTCAGAGAACAGACAATGGTGACCGCCTGTTGCAGCTGTGCCCAGATAACCGCCTATTCCTAGCAAAAACTAACATCTTTTGACCTGGCGAACCCCCGAATTCGTCACAACGATGGACCCAACCAGATCACACGGCTGTAAGCCAATGGTGGAGAGGTTCTGTTGAAGACTGCCGCTCATTCTGGAGCACTTGTTTATACTCAGGTCATGCTCTAGTGCGAGCGCATATTTGTTTGCGCCTTACTGGACGCAAGAAAAATGTCGCTCTTAAGGCTCTACTTAATGATAATAAAGGTGAGAATATATTTCAGAAACAACTAGAAAAACAGTTAAGCAGCCATGTAGTAAGTGATGCCCACCCTGACGCAGCTTGGAATGATATCAAAAAGGCTGTGGAAACAGCAGTGATATCTTCTATTAAGGCAAACCATAAGGTTAGGGAGACGCCGTGGATCTCAGTAGCATCTACCGAACTGACGGATGCTCGAAAACTCATCCCTCCTGGCTCTGAGCACGATGAGTAGCGCGGTCAGTTCAGGCGCATACAGATAAAAAGCCTTCGCAATGATCGAGAACAGTGGTGGGTACAGAAAGCAACGGAGATGGAAAAGGCGGAGGCGATAGGCAACAGTAGGCTACTATACAGATTTATCAGGGAAACCGGTATTAGAAACACGAATGTGAGTGAAACTATTTCAGTGAAGCATGGTCCTATTATTCAATCTGTATCCAGGAGATTAGATCAATGGGCAGAACACTTTAGACATCAGTTCAACTAGCCTTTAGCCACACTTCGTTTACCCACGATCTCCAGTCATCCTGAGTGGGAAACCGGTATAATTCCTCCGAACCTTCATGAAAATGAGAAAGCGATAGGAAATCTGCAGTGAGAGAGAGCAGCGGGTCCTGATAGATTGACCCCTGAGATTTTTAAGGATCGTGGTCCAGTTTAAGCAACCAGATTTACTAAGATCTTAGACAGAATTTGCGAACTGGACGTAATTCCATCCGACTGGTCTCAGTTCTCGATTGTCCAAATTTACAAGAAAGGACAAAAGTTCTCCTGTGACAGTCACAGCGGAAACAGTCTAACTAATATAGTTTCTAGTCCTAGGACAAAGACACACGTTCAGACGCCTCACAATAGTAGTGTTTCTCGACCTTAAAGCGGCACTCGACTCAGTGGATCGTGAGGTTCTGTGGCAGTGTCTGTCATTGAAAGGTGTAGCAAAGAAGTACATTAACCTCATACAGGCTCCCCACTCGAACACCGCTGGTCGGGTGAGAGCTTATGGCAAACTGTCATCGGAATTCTTTACTTCAAGTGGTGTCCGTCAGGGCTGCCCACTCTCCCCATTCTTGTTGAATTTTGTCATAGACATGCTGCTAGATATAACACTATCATCTGAATTTTCAGGAGTAGACCTTCTACCAGGAAAGTAGCTTACTGACATAGAATATGCCGATGACATAGTTCTATTCGGTGAAGACGCTGACAAAATGCAGTCTTCTGGTTACCCTGAGCAGCAGTGCAAACATGTTCGGGATGCGGTTTTCTCCTTCGAAATGCAAAATGTTGCTTCAAGATTGGGTTTCATCGGCACCTTAACTAGTGATAGTGAGTGAAGTAGTCGAACGTGTAGGGCGTTTCACTTATCTCAGGAGTCTCATCAGTGCTGATGGCCTGGTGTGTGACGAAATCTCAGCACGGATACAGGAGGCTCGATTGGCTTTTGCCAACTTGCGTCACCTACGGCGCAGGCGAGATATCCGCTCGCTAATCAAAGGAAGAGTGTACTGTGCAGCAGTTCGCTCCGTCCTACTATATGGCTGTGAAACATGGCCAGTCAGAGTAGAAGGTTACTGGTTTTTGATGGTAGGTATCTTCGAAGCATTGCTCGTATATCCTGGGATAACCGAGTGAGCAACGCTGTTATTAGGAAGCGGATGCTAAGAAAGGATGGCAGGTCAATGGATGAAGTAATGAAACTTCATCAGTTGAGGAGGTTGGGACATGTGTTGCGTATGCCTAACCACCGACTGCCTCGTCGAGCTATGTTTTGTCGTGTAGGAGTAGGTTGGACGAAAGCTAGGGTCGGCCTGACCAAAACATGCCAGAAATCCATGAAGTCACTGACAAGTGGACTGAGCCATGTTGGTAGATGTAGGCTACCTGGTTGGGGTCCGCGAGATGATAATAATCGATGGTTATAGACCGTATATAATGGCGCAGGTGCATTTACTCTTTGTGTTTTACGAAATTCTAACCTTCTGAATTAATCATCACCTCTATCTTTCTCTTTCTAAATTTACCTAACTGAATTATACTTCTTGAAAAACATCTTCGAACCCTAATCTCTTCGATTACTTCTAATACTTTTACTACGTCCACTACTATGGGATTTGAATTGACAATTATATCTCTGTGCTAATGTGGTATGGCAACTTGAAATGCTGTACTCACGTGCAAAGTTCTACGTTGCTGTTGACGAAGGAATCACTAATAATATTTCTGCGATGTTACGTTTGATTGATATATGATTGCTCCATCACCTAAACTACTGCTTACTGCGCACATATATTGTCTGTGATCCACCGTACAAGCTGTCGCTGGCATTTAATTTTGGCTGGTATCTAGTTTTAATTGCGACTCCTCACAATCGTTAACAGCCGACTTCCATAATATTAGGTACAGGGACAAAAAGTGTACTGTTATCCTCGTTACTTTATATCTGTAACAAACAGCCTCTCAAATATACATCATGCACGTTTAGTATGTTTTCAATGGAAATAGACAACGGACTTTCAATTGGCCGCTCAGAGATTTAAACCCACAACCTCACCTGTTCCGAATGTCACAGTGTTACTTGAAGCCGAGTACTTGAACATGCAATTACTAATCGAGTTTACAAACTTAGGTTAAGTTTATATGCTAACCATGACTTCTCATTTTGTGTATTATGCCAAAATTATTTTTCAAGATATGTAGATCCTCTAACTGCACATATTCTTAATGATAAGAGCTTTCACCCGAAATGGTTCGAATGCTTAAATTAGGTGTAATCGAATGACGTTTCTAATAATGAAGCTTTGCATTAAGTAAATGCTTAGATGCATAATTTAGCATGAAGTACAAACTGTTGACAAGTAAAAGGACCAACTCAGCAACATAAAACTGCAATTCAAAAATTTGCCTTAAGCTATCTTGTATATTTCGTGACTGTATTTTAATTTTCATTACTAGTGTCAAAAAAATACTTTCTTTAAGGTTTTATTTTATATCTAATAATTAATCTAAAGACTTCGAATTTGTACACCTGAGCTAAACTACTAGATAAATTTTGAAACAAACACTTCTGCTTTTCCCTGAAATATGTGAGCACGATATCTTTTACTATTTTTAAGTTAATTTCCCTATGCTGAAATCTTATTTTTTAAATCCAGATTGCACAAAAGATATGCCCACATCATGTTGGACATTACCTTGGTTTAGACATCCATGATACTCCGACGATACCCAGTACGAAGCATCTTGAAGCAGGTGTCGTGTTTCCTCTAGAACCAGGTATTTACTTCAGAGAAGAATTAACGAAATTTGGCGTTGCGAAAGACTTTTTGGGGATCGGTATGCGAATAGAAGACGACTTCGTCATGTCAAGAAGTGGCTATGCTGAGAATTTAGAACTTGCCGAAAATGACATATTTCTGGAGGAAACCTAAACTTCGTGTGGAAAGTTGTTGAATATATTGATATAAAAACTATGAGTTTAATTCTTGCAACACAGCCTCTTTGAGTAATGTGAAAGTTCAAGACAAAATTCCCTCCTCTAAACCTAGTCTACAGAGACATTGTATCTAGTTTTATCGAACCGTTTCCACAAAATTCGTTTCAGTAAAACCATCTCATACATACGCGTATTAGTCATACTTCGAATAAAATAAAATGGTAACGAATTTGAGAAATAAGCGCTCAGGTGCAGTATTTTATATCAACAACATTCAAACTTTGAAACATCGTTGTGAATAAGTTTATTTTCATCTCACGAATTATTGCTCCTGACATTTGGTAAATAAGTGAAGTGAACAGTCGTGATCTTTGCAGAAAAGAATGAGGTCAGGAAATACTAAAGTGAATAAAACTAGTTAATAGGGGTACAACATGTATTCTATCATTGTGGAAGTTAGTACTGAAGACAATGGTTACGTAAATGTATCGTGATCTTCGAGTAAAAACTATTATCACTTGGATACAAATTCTCTAGTAAGTTTTCAAGATCATCCGTTAGAATAGTAAGCACTTATTTACTTCAACCCGATCATAAGGCATCTGAGACAAACCCCTCACAAATATGGAGCGGTTAAACTACACACTACGTCATCATTTCTGCGACAAAGTTGTGGTTTTACTGCAAATAATACTGCTGTTTTGAAAAAAACATATTTCTTCGCGTGTTTTTAATGTTGACCATATGCAAGGTAAATCAATCAATGATTCCTAGCTTGTTTTGGAAGTTTGCTGAGTCAACCTTATGGGCTTAGAGGTCAGTCACTTACAACGTAGAATTTCGTACGTACGTAAATCAGTTCAGATTGCTATACCGCATTAGTACAGAGACGCAACTGTCCGTTCAAATCCCATAGTGGTAGAGATAGCAGAAGTATTAGCGGTAATGGAGAATATTAGGGATCGAAGATATTATTCAAGAAGTATAGTTCAGTGAGTTAGCCTCAGAAAGAAATATAGAGATGATGACGAACCCCGAAGGTTAGGATTTGAGAGAACACAAAGAATGAATGCATTAGCACCATTGCAAACGGTTTTCAGGGTAAGAACAAGTAATAACAGACTAGAAAGAAGGACACCTCATCAAGACGACAAGGAAAGATTTCAGCAATTGTACGAACTACATCGGCATCACTCTATTATTAATATCAGGAAAATTCTTCAACAAAGTCTTGTCCAACCGAGAGACTCACAAGATGTTCGGCCTCAAGATTAATCGTACATTGACCAAATCGTTAAACCATGGACCAACGTGGAACAATCAATTGAATTTAGCTCATCACTTTACACAAACATCCTTGACTATGAGGGACTCAACATCGTGGACAGGAGAACCTCGTGGGGCGTTTTTGCACTATGAAGCAACAGAGAAGATAGTCACCGCAATACGGTATTCATGCGACAGGAAACACTGCGAAATTGAGCATGAAAGGAAGCTCACAGACACGTGGCAAGTGAAAACGTGTCAGATATATCTGCTCATTCCCATGCTTTCTCTTTTTACTGGTGGTTTAAATTATGAAAAACCTCAACATCTCATGGTGAGCAAAGAGTACGAATCCTGACGGTAGCTGTTATCTTGACGTGGTGGTCAGGCTTCCCAATCGTGATGACCCAACCGAGCTATATTGGCTGGAACATATGTTCCTGAAGGTTCTACTATGACAGGCAGGTCGATTAGAGGACGATGAGACTAAAAGCAGCTATTCAAGTCTGGGGGCGAAATCGTACTGCTGACTGCAGAGGGGTGTGACAACAGTAAGGTGTTTCTCTCGGACAACCAGCATCTGCAGCCATGCTACCTTCTAACAAGGAAGGAAGGGTTAGAAAAAAGTATTCCACACCTCACACTACCTCACTGATTTCCGTCTCTGTCGGTAAAGGCTGCCAAGGGTTATAAAAGAGCGGAACTAACACGAAAAATCTTTCAAAAAAAGGGCATGCGTGACCGGCTTCAAGCAGTTGTCCTTTGGATTCTGGGGTCACGCTTCCAGGACAGAGAGACAATTACAACGAAGAACTTCGTACGCAAGTACATCGGTTCAGGTTGCCATACCACATCAACACAGACGCAACTGTCAGTTCAAATCCAAGAGTGATAGCAATAGTAGAAGTATTAGCAGTAATTGAGAAGATCAGGGAGCAAAGATATGATTCGAGAAGTATAATTTGGAAAGAGAAAGAGGTGATGATTAATTCAGAAGGTTAGAATTTCGTAAAACACAAAGAGTAAATGCACCTGCGCCATTATATACGATCTATAACCATCGATTATTATCATCTCGCGGACCCCAACCAGGTAGCCTACATCTACCAACATGGCTCAGTCCACTTGTCAGTGACTTCATGGATTTCTGGCATGTTTTGGTCAGGCCGATCCTAGCTTTCGTCCAACCTGTTCCTACGTCGCAAAATATAGCTCGCCGAGGCAGTCGATAGTTAGGCATACGCAACACATGTCCCAACCTCCTCAACTGATGAAGTTTCATTACTTCATCCATTGACCTGCCATCCTTTCTTAGCATCCGTTTCCTAATAACAGCATTGCTCACTCAGTTATCCCAGGATATACGAGCAATGCTTCGAAGATACCTACCATCAAAAACCAGTAACCTTCTACTCTGACTGGCCATGTTTCACAGCCATATAGTAGGACGGAGCGAACTGCTGCACAGTACACTCTTCCTTTGGTTAGTGAGCGGATATCTCGCCTGCGCCATAGGTGACGCAAGTTGGCAAAAGCCGATCGAGCCTCCTGTATCCGTGCTGAGATTTCGTCACACACCAGGCCATCAGCACTGATGAGACTCCCGAGATAAGTGAAACGCTCTACACGTTCGACTACTTCACTCCCTATCACTAGTTAAGGTGCCGATGAAACCCAATCTTGAAGCAACATTTTGCATTTCGAAGGAGAAAACCGCATCCCGAGTATGCTTGCATTGTCGCTCAGGGTAATCACAAGACTGCATTTTGTCAGCGTCTTCACCGAATAGAACTATGTCATAGGCATATTCTATGTCAGTAAGCTACTTTCCTGGTAGAAGGTCTACTCCTGAAAATTCAGATGATAGTGTTATATCTAACAGCATGTCTATGACAAAATTCAACAAGAATGGGGGGAGTGGGCAGCCCTGACGGACACCAATTGAAGTAAAGAATTCCGATGACAGTTTGCCATAAGCTCTCACCCGACCAGCGGTGTTCGAGTGGGGAGCCTGTATGAGGTTAATGTACTTCTTTGCTACACCTTTCAATGACAGACACTGCCACAGAACCTCACGATCAACCGAGTCGAGTGCCGCTTTAAGGTCGAGAAACACTACTATTGTGAGGCGTCTGAACGTGTGTCTTTGTCCTAGGACTAGAAATTATATTAGTTAGACTATTTCCGCTGTGATTGTCACAAGAAGACTTTTTTCCTTTCTTGTAAATTTGGACAATCGAGAACTGAGACCAGTCGGATGGAATTACGTCCAGTTCGCAAATTCTCTCTAAGATCTCAGTCAATCTCTCTTATGTCCACGACTAACCCTTCAGGTACCTAAACCTTGACTCGGTCCACCTTGATACATGTCACGACTCACTGTTCTTTATTGAAAACAATATTACTACAATTCACTATAATTTTAACTCCCAGCATGAGCTTCATTCAGTGATATTCTATTACTTTTTCTGTTCCGCTCTGAGCAGATAAACAGTTCTCTGGCCATAGTTCGACTTATTTTCCTTTTTCGTTTCTTTTCAGAATCTTACAAGCAGTGAACAACCATGTTGCTTCTCCTACGCAAACTGCAGCTTAGAGATTGTCAGGGTCACAGCACATATTAAACACATTCCGATAGAAATTGTCTAAGAAATATGAATTTACTAGCCTGTTCTATAACACAAATGCTTAAACTTAATCGCCCTAAACAACTCATGAATCATTGATAAGTTATGAATAACATCTAAGAACTCTTTCTCGTACCTACTGTTTTATAGTAATAATATTTACTCTCAAGTAACTACGTTACAAGAGGCACGCCAGTTTACAGGCTAGATCAAATTGTCACAAACGCTTTCACATTTACTGTATAAGTTATCGCGTTTAAATTAATTATAAGAGTCAAAATCACTTGTTTAAAATGTGGCTGTATAAGATTGTTCATATCGGTGAAATAGTGTTAACTTGCTACATAAGAGAAAGACTTTTATTATTGATATAAATGAGCAACCTATTGCAGTAAATTTGCTGGCATTCGTTATAATTCGATATTACCTGTCATGTGGGATGACTCATGTGACGCACTGTTAAAAATAAATATTACTATTTCGTTAGGAAACGAGTACTAGGTACGGATGGCAAATCCATAGATGAAATATTGAAACAACAATAAGTTGAAGAGGTTGGGACATGTGTTACGAATGCCCAATCACCGACTGCCTCGACGAGCTATGTTTTGTAGTGTAGGAGTAGGTTGGAAGAAGGTTAGGGGCGGTCAGACCAAAACATGGCACAAATCCGTGAAGACACTGACAAGTGCACTGAGTCATGTTGGTAGATGTGGGCTACCTGGTTGGAGTCCGCGAGACGATTATATCCGATGGTTAGAGACCTTGATCGACATGGCCTAAAGTCGCTTGCATCCACTCGTTGTGTTCGATGAAATTTTAACCTTCAGAATTCCTTGTCAGCTATACCTTTCTCTTCTCAAATTCATCTCACCGAATTATATTTCTTGAATAATATCTTCGAAACATAATTCTCTTACATAACCACTATGGGATTGGAACTGACAGTTGCGTCTTTATGCTAATGTGGTATAGCAACCTGAACTGATGTACGCACGTACAGAATTCTACGTAGTAAGTGACTGACAGAGCACAGTTCGGATGCAACTGGATGACCTAGACTTCGTAGATGGCATGGATCTTCTTTCCCACACACAGCAACAGACGCAGGTGAAGATGATGGCCAGTGTAGCAACAGTAGGTCTCAACATACACAAGGGAAAAAGAAAGATCATCCGATACAACACAACATGCACTAATAAATCACACTTGATGGAGAAGCTTAGGAAGATGTAGGAATCTCTAAATATCTCGACAGCATAATTGATAGACAAGGTGGATCTAATACAGATGTGAAGACACAGATTAGCAAAGCAAGGGTAGCATTTCTACAATTGAAGGACATATGGAACCCTGAGACAACTGCAAACGCCAAAGTCAGAATTTTACATACGGACGCCAAAACAGTTCTGCTATATCTAGCGAAAGCTTGGAGAACCACGAAAGATACCATCCACAAGTTACAGGTGTTTATTAACAATTATCCGCGCGAAACACTAAGGTTCTGTTGGCCAGATACAATGAGCAGCAATCTACTACGGTAGAAAAAAAGTAACCCTCAGCTGAGCAAGAAATAAGGAAAAAGCGCTGGATGTGGATATGACACATTTTATGGAATGCGCCCAACTGGGACAAGCCCCGTCTTTGAATCCTCAAGGCCAAAGAAAAAGAGAGACCAAAAGTCACATTGCGCCACGAATCAGAGATAAACTTCGGAAGAATGAATAGCACTTGTGAACAACGAGAGATGAGACCAGGACAGAGTAGGTTGAAGAATGCTGGTTGGCAACTTACGCTTCACAAGGGGTAACAGGCGTAAGTAGTAAGTAAGTACGAATTACTGACAGCACATCCTATATCAGCGCAGCAACTGGCATTAAGTCTTTTTGGTTTAGTTTGCTAAAATTTTACGTCAGTACAGTGGAAGTACATTACTGGAAGGAATAGGAAATGAGTCGAAATAATAATACTTGTGTTTAAAGAAACCCGAACAAGGTAAATTATCCAAAAATAGCGAACGAAAATCGTCACATGATACCAGGCCCATTACTAAGATAAACACATCATCTATTAATAGCACCCTGATCGATTGTTTGAATAACAAATTACAATTAACCGAAAGACCGTAACCCTGATATTCGAAATTACCGAAACTGTCTGATTGAGTGTCAGTGGCTTTATAGATTGATACTGTTTTGCTTCTACCACTACTAACTATCCGCTAACTTTTATGCTACCCAACATAGTGCGTAATGTAGACTATGACTGGAAACGCATAATACATTTCAGTCACTTTTCATCAATCAAAGTCATCGGGCAATTATATCACGCAGTCTTAAGTAGTTTTTATCATAGTAACGAGAGAATAAACATAGTTACCTCGTCATAAACACTACAAGGTTCTGATGACTTAAACATTCGAAACGTAACTACTAAAAATTAAAGTAAACAACGAATTCAATTACGTAAGTGCTACTTCACAATCAACTAACACTATATAAAAGATGTTATTTTCAGGTTGTTATGAAAAACACTACAAAATGATGGTGCAATTTTTATTCAAAAATAATTAGTAATAACAGTATCCAGGCATAGACAATAAATTAGACTGTATGAATAGAGAATTAATAATATCTACAAAAAAAGGTTACTGTGAAACATTACTTACTTTCTCCAGCATTTATAGTTTCGACAGGTCTTGCTTTTTTATCCACATCTATACATAAGGTCTAGTTGATTAATATGATTAGTTTACTTTTTTCATCAATTGGTGTTTCTTCAATTTTCTCACATTCTGACCCTTTGTTATTATCAATCTTTACCGGAATGAAATACTCTTTATCGTGAAAATCCATACACGATTTGGAGCTCACGGATGCAGTGTCTTGATCAACTGGGACAATAGTTTCTACTGACTTGGCTGATATCACATCAAACAGATCTACTATATCCGACACAATAGAAAATATAACATACTACAAGTTTGTGGCTCGCTTTGGAGTATGCGTTGCTTGGCTTTGGCAAAATATTCAGAGACGGATAATGGACTTATCACAGTAGGAAGGTTATAATCAGATTTATTAACAGACGCATCTGATGAAGCTTTATTCTCTTCCGAAGATGACTTAGTATTTCCAAGAACAATAGAAAGATCTTGCTCACCATATTCAGATGCATCCTTAGCCTTTAAAGTTTTCGTACTTCTTCTCGAGTTGATTGATATACATTTATTGATTGGTTTCATTTTCTCAGGATTGTTGTGGGCGTTATTCAGCTTACGCAGAAGATTTGCGTATTCGTCAATCTGCCTAACACCCAAACAAAAGTCTGACTTCATACCCAGTCCTCTTGTACCTTTCTGCACAGATGCCTATAAACTCTTTAGAATATGAAAATGTTAATGATACCTTAATGGGAGCTTTGATACCGTTGTTGTTTCTTCCCAAACCTTTCCCAGGAGCCCATCCATATTTTTCCAGCATTTTTCTGCCGAAATTTTCGGGATTAGAAGCCCAAAGATTCCCATTTGGGTCCGTTGAATACCTTACTTTTTTGCGTTTTTCTGATAGCATTTCGAACTATTAGGTTGCTGGAAGATAATATCTGAAAATATTAATAGAAAGCCTTAGGTTTTGACAAATAATGTTAAAACTTAAGAGTCCTAGCTAATTTGAACAGAGGTAAAAGTGCAACTTTTATTTACATCGACAAGACAAAAACAACATACGGCCTAGCAACAATCTAAAATACATTAGCAACCAGCTAAAACAAGTCAACAAATTTATTTACGATAACGAAGACTACTAGACATAAAAAAAGATTTAGAAAGGAATGAAACAAACAAAAATTATATGTTACGATTAGATCTTAAGACTGGGAAGGGATAAGCATATCTACACAACTGCAATTAAATGTCACTTTAGGTTCATAACCAACGATTGTGTGTTATTACGTAGGCCACAACGTTGGAGCCAGCAACTCTACATATTGCTCAGAGCCGACACAAATGACTCAGTCGGATAACGCCGTATATTGCTTAGGCATTCCTGACCTCTATCTAAACGTCAGATCGTTATGGAAGTCGGTGCCTAGAATATTATTTTGGTCAAACTAATTGTATAAAGCATTGTGAAAAGGTAAACAGAAAGTTATCTAAAAAACATCTAATCAGCACAAGAAACTAGTAAACAAGAACCAGACTACTACGTTGCGATCCATTAGTTAAGAAAAATGGTAGCTTATTTATACCCGGATTGTAACCAATTATATTAGAACATTAATTTAAGATTACAGGACACCATCAAGTCCTCAGACGTCGATTTAACGTGGAGTTACTAGAACAAGTAGTTGGGTGGATGAATAAAAGACGGTTTTCAAGGTGTAATACGACTGAATTTAAGAATTTACAGACTACAGAGGAATAAGTTATAGAAGTACATTCCCCGGAAGACATAGAAAACTCATACGAATAGTATATAAGAACGAATCGCTGGATAAATATCTGTGCATCTTAAGGAACTGAAATTCTGGTAGTCAGACTCATGTGACTTTAATAATCGACAACATGCAGAACTTTTTAGTTCGCGAGCACATAATTCGTTTACAGCTACAGTTAGAACCTTATCATGTCCACCCCAAAAAGACTATTATGCCAGCTATCAAAGATCGATAAAAGGAGCATTTTAACAGAAAAAACTCCATTGAAGTTAAAAGTGGGACGTTCGTAGATGGCTCTTTTAAATTCAAGTACGTGAAAATATAAACACGAATTAAAGAACTGGTATTTGGTTTTAGTTCATATAGTCCTTAGAAGAGGCCTACGGTAACTATAAGTCAAAAATGATAGATAGTGGTACGTGAAAATGGATATAGCTCAAAATATTCTAGATATCTGTCGCATTTCGAATCCTTCAAATCAAAGTTATACTGCAACCGAGGAGTCAGTCTTACGGACGCGATGTTTATGCATCATACGATGGCAAGCAATACACTAGGTTCTGCACTTTATTGGTCGGGATATTCCGTTTGGCAGTACATCGAAAAAACTGACCAAAAAAAGCAATAAAACTATGGAGCGTACACTTGTGTCCAAGCGAAGATGCATGTAAGATACGCAAACGGATAGAAATGTATAGAGGTTTTTGGCAGGAAGTGCTTGACAGTTATGAATCTTTATTAGGAAAAATGATGCAAATGTCCCTAACGAGAGTTAAAATGAGGATCCACATTACATGTTTGATGACAGCTGGGTGTATTTTATTCATTGGAAACTACATATAAGACACGTGACACAAATAGCATAATGATACTAGCTAGTTCACGAGAACAAAAGTTTTCTAATTGTCGTGTAATCACAATATTGTGTTCGTACATCATGGTAACGCAAACCAATACATAAGCCGCTTCACCGGTATTCAAAACCATTAAGCCTCCGCGTGTTCCAATATCCAATATCCAATATCTTTTTCACGAGCTAGTGTAAACCAATTTGATTTCTTCGCGCTCGATTCTTGTTCTTTCGGTACGGTTCCAGGTGTTCGGTAATGTCCAATGGATGGAGGTCTAGCCACTCGACTGTCTAATTCTAGTCAGTTGGCAGTTGGTTGTGAGTTTGTATGTCTCGGGATTTGAATGAAACGTTTGTTTCAGGGCAGTAGGGTTTCTGGATACTAGCAGCCGTCACTTTACCAAACCGGAGATCAGTTAGTTGCAATGTGGAGAGTAATAAGGGTAATAAGGGTAAATTAAAATGATAATATGAGTAAAATTTCAGAACTGAGTAATATATAGATGAATTTAGTTTATTAATTGGTAGTGAAGATTGTGAGAGAGGACCGAAGTGTAAGCAAGGGAGAGGAATAGGCGAGTTAAATTAATTAAGTGATCTGAGGAGATGGCAATGGTAACAACTAGCAGGTCTCAAGATATGCATCAGGCACAGCTTGTCCAAGAGGGAGATGATAGTCCGCATGTGAGTACGTGATTATCAAGTCTCTTCTTAAAGCAGTCCACTGAGGGGGCTGTAACTACCTCGGCTGGGAGAGCATTCCAAGTTGCGACGACTCGCAATGAGAAAAAGTGTGCACGAACCTGAGTGTTTGCTCTTTGATGTGCAATCTTTTGAGGATTGCCTCGAGGGGAGTGGTGGTGATGCATCGGTAAGATGCTCACATTGGGATGGTTGGGCGTGTTTAATATGGTGTACGCCATAATCAGGTCACCTCTGATTCTCCTGTAGCTCAGTGGGAATAATCCCAAGAGCTGGAGTCTATCGTCGTACGGTTTATTTTTCAAACCTATCACCCATTTGGTTGCTCGTCTCTGCACTCGATCCAAGAGATTAATGTCTCTTTTAAGCATAGGGGGTGCTCAATATATCCAATTTACAATATCTTTTTCACGAGCTAGTATACACTAGTTGACGTGTTGGAGCTCAACTCTTGTTCTATTTGTACGGTTCCATGTGGTTGGTAGTGTCCAATGAATATCGGCCTAGTTACTCCAATATCCAATAATCTTTCTACGAGCTAGAGTAAACCAATTGACTCGACCGCCTAATTCTGGTCAGTTGGCAATTGGTTGTGAGTTTGCATGTCCCGTGATTTGAATGTAAACGTTTATTTCAGGGCAGTAGGATTTCTGAATACCAGCAGCTATCACATTACCAGACCGGAGAACCCCTCACAGGGAGTAACCTAAGTCGTGTATAATCTCAGAAGGACTTTTCTACACCTTAAACTGTGAAAAGTAAGTTGGCTGCTATCCATTGAATCTTACGATGCCTTTATCACAAACCGATCGGCTTTGTTACGCTTGTTTCGATGTAGTTCTAGGTAGCGGGTTGTTTTCAATATCGAATCCAATCCTTTTCACGAGCTAGTATAAACTAATTGATTTCTTTGGGCTCGATTCTTTTTATATATGTACTGTTCTAGGTGTTTGGTAGACACGCAAACATGCTAATTCGAGTCCATTTGGCGGTCAATTACTGATTTGTTCTTATTTTCATTCCCATGAATGCGTTAGCCATTAGGCAGCTATGATGTTAAGCTAGATAAATGTGAAGTGCTAGCTTATCCTCTGTGTTGTAAATATTCCTCCAAAATGTAACATATTGGGCGAGAAATAATCACTGGTGTAGCACTTCGTAATGAAAACTATCTACACAAAAATCGATAGAAATCCCATAAATGAACACTGGACGACCCACTGGAAAATTTCTGTACCTTCGAAAACTTCAAGTTTACACTGACCATTAAAATTCAACAATTCGGATAGGAACAGAAAAAACAATTACCATTGATACATGGCAAAATAGAATGAGCCTATTGATGTGAGCTATACCACTGGTGCCGTCTTAACCACGCAAAATATGGAGAAGGCAGCAAATATTAGTGGAGGTATAATTTAAGAGTTGGATAACGGTTTTGTCCACAACCAAATTTTCAGTGTCAGGAAATATTCTGTACAGTGTATTTTATGGTGATCTGGTGCAGACGCGTAACCTGGCTCCTTCAATAACCGTGTGTCTAGGTAAACCGAACAGGTCAACACCAATGGCGAAGACTTACAAAACTATTGGAAACAGGGATTTACTTACCGCCGCTGATACCTAAGACCTGGGCGTTGTCGCCAACCTCATTCGTCTCACTAGACACACCTGGCATAAGGTGATCATTTATTCGCAGGCACCAAGTTTTCAGTTTATATGCTAGGGTACTCACCCTTGTAAGTCAATATTATCCACTTCGCTATTTACCTTTCCTATTTCCAATATGTCATCCAACTTTTTCATTTTTAAATTCTAGTTTCAATAGGTTTGGAGTCCTCAATTAAAAACGTTCAACAGTTAGAAAAAGCTGTGTCATGACAATATAAACAATATGAAAAATGAGCTGGATGTTGTTCAACATAACTAAGTTGTAAAACTAAACTAAAATATTATAGGTGTTCAAAAAGTTCAGGAATGTATACATACGCATTTATAACAGTTCATATTGACAAACCACATTACCACGGAGACTCAACGGTATCTCGTTGCCAGTTGCTGCGCTAATATAGGATGTGCTGTCAGTAATTCGTACTTACTTACTACTTACGCCTGTTACCCCTTGTGAAGCGTAAGTTGCCAACCAGCATTCTTCAACCTACTCTGTCCTGGTCTCATCTCTCGTTGTTCACAAGTGCTATTCATTCTTCCGAAGTTTATCTCTGATTCGTGGCGCAATGTGACTTTTGGTCTCTCTTTTTCTTTGGCCTTGAGAATTCAAAGACGGGGCTTGTCCCAGTTGGGCGCATTCCATAAAATGTGTCATCTACATCCAGCGCTTTTTCCTTATTTCTTGCTCAGCTGAGGGTTACTTTTTTTCTACCGTAGTAGATTGCTGCTCATTGTATCTGGCCAACAGAACCTTAGTGTTTCGCGCGGATAATTGTTAATAAACACCTGTAACTTGTGGATGGTAGCTTTCGTAGTTCTCCAAGCTTTCGCTCGATATAGCAGAACTGTTTTGGCGTCCGTATGTAAAATTCTGACTTTGGCGTTTGCAGTTGTCTCAGGTTCCATATGTCC